TAGTAACTCGTTCTATTTTAGTCTGTTGCCTTTCATATACACTAATATTATAAGAACGAAGGAAGAACTCTTTTCATCTACTAACTAACAACAACTGATATTGGACAACATCTATGCTTTGCTTTGCTTGGGTTTTCTTCAATAATGATATAACTTCTTTACAATAACTGATAAGTTTGATGTTTTCTTATTTGAAATCATTATTTGACACAACTGAAAGGCTTCTCAACTCATATAAGGTTATTGGTGCTGATAGGAAGGCAAAATGAGCTAGAAAGATCAATATCTATTCGAGGCTTCATATATATGAAGACCGCTCTTGTCCTGGGCGTACTATTCAACATGAATCGAATCCACCAAGCATGAAGAAACAATATAATCACAATACTAATGAAATCAAATGCAAAGTCAAACAATTTAAAATGACGTATCGAAGATTCTCCACAACCAGTCAAAAGAACTTACCGAGAAGAAATGATGTCATTATATACAAATTCACCTGATGTTACAGCATTTACACTTATGTTTCATGAAATAAAAACTTGCTTTTATAAAGCACGAAATTATAGTTATCCATCTGCATCACAAACACTCAATGATGTTAAAATTGAAAGAATATGGAGAAAAACTTTAACTGGCCAGGATTTTATTTTTATGAATTCATTGCATCCTATATTCGGCACAATAGAATCTCTTCGACAATTATCAGCGTGCGATAATGATCATTAATTTATGGATGGAACATTTATATCTTGCCCACATTCTTTTTACCAACTCTATACAATTCATTCAATCAACAGTGATATATCAACACCAAAATTATATATATTATTAGCAGATAAAAAAAGGTCCAACATATATATTCTTTATTGAATATTATTTTAACTTTATTTCATACAAATAATATGTCTATTAATTCCAAGTATGTTACAATTGATTTTGAACAAGCAGCTATCAATGCTATCAAGTTAGTATTTCCAATCGCCATTATCAAGGTCTCCAGTTGTCACTTTAACAAATGCATTTATACAAAGTTGCAAGAACTTGGATTTCAATCAGCATTTATTAATACAAAATCAGGTGAACCAGGTGAGATTAATATAAGAACTCTACTAGAAGACATGTGCACTCGCATTTATGCCATCGAAAGAAGTCAGAAAACTATGGTTGTAGATTATGAATGAATTTCAAGATATACAAAATATTGAAGAATTTTACGATTATATAACAAATACATGGGTACATGATGATGCAATATTTGATTTTTTGCTATGAAATGATTATGCCTTTAAAAGTATAAGAACCAACAATAATTTAGAAGGTTGACATCATCATTTAAATACTGACTTAAGCCATGTTACACACCCACACTCACATATTTATTCGTGCAATTCAAAACGACCATGCTTATAATTCAGCAATATCATTATGCCAATTAGCAACCGATACATTATCGCCAAGAAAAAAATTATTTGTCAATCGGAATGCGCGACTACAAGATTGAGAAATTCGTTATAAACAATAGACATTAACTTTGAAAGAATACTTTGAAAAAGTTATGCGATTAATTGGTATTAAAAAATTCTGAATATTTTGTCGTATGTTTTCTTGTTCCATTTCGTGTACGTATTTCTTACAATGTACACTGTAAAAAAAAACGGTACTTTCTGGAACCTCAAAAAAAGGTTCGGTAGATGACAAAAAGTTTGCAAATGTGTTGAAAGTTTCAAAGAACGAATAAAAAAAACTCGGAACCTTTAAAGGATCTTACCGTGTACCCAAGTGATGATCCTTTTTTCTTCGAAACCTTTTTAAGTTCCGTACACCAAAAAAAGGTTTTGTAGGAAAGTACGAAACCTTTAGGGTTTCGTATTGAACCTCGAGGTTTCGTACTGGGTTTCTTATAAAACTATTATACGAGATGCGAAACTTTAAAGGTTTCGTACTTTTCTACAAAACCTTTTTTTTGGTTTACGGAACTTAAAAAGGTTTCGAAGAAAAAAGGATCTTCACTTGTGTACACGATAAGATCCTTTAAAGGTTCCGGGTTTTTTTTATTCGTTTTTTGAAACTTTCAACACATTTGCAAACTTTTTGTCATCTACCGAACCTTTTTTTTGAGGTGCCAGAACGTACCTCTTTT